ATATTTTTAGTGAGGTTTTATTTATTTTATCTCTGTTGTTGCAAAAGTTGCAGTTTTGGCTACTCATCGTGGAATCTTTCCAATGGCATTGCTAGGATAACCTAAATTTCTCAAAATTGGCAGGGATATAGGTAGGATGCTTGCAAATGACTACAAGAAACGTGTGATGATTGTTGACACGTCTAACGAGATAGGTGGGAATGGCGATATACCACATGCTGGAATTGGTAATGCTCGGAGAATGCAAGTCCCTGACTCTGATATGCAACATAAGGTAGGAGCTGGTAGTGGCTGATCTCATCGATCCTCTCTGGTTAATTATGGAAATTTATTTATGTTGATGTCATGATGTCGAAAAAATGTGACTTGCAATATGTTATGGTTATTAAAGTAATTTGCTTACATTCTGTAAATAAGCTTTACAAAGTAATTCTACTTTTCGTACTGTACGTCCTTGGTCAGTAGGACTTCCTACAGCTGTGTTCATAAACATATTTCTAGGTCAAAAACTTAGTTTTTCTTCTAAAACCTTTAGAGGTAATTAATTTTGTGGTGCACTGATATGTGCCATCATTAGCATGATTCATCCAGCATAATGCAAATAAATTTTTTCTGTTAAGACTTATGGATATCGGAATCCTAGAAATTAGAGGAGCCCACATGCATAAGTTATGAATATTCTGCAATTGCCATATGTAAAATCAATCATTTCTACCTACTACCACTTAAGATTTTTTCTCTAGATCAGTTCACCTTTTACCTCAAGTTCTCCCCTAGTTTGTCCTATCCTTTACCACTTGTCTTCAGTAATATAAAGACCCGCCAAATGCATTTGTCCCCACAGTTAAATTTTACATTTTTATATAATGCAGGTATTGATAGAAGCAGTTGAAAATCATATGCCACAAGTGATCGTGATTGATGAAATCGGAACAAAACTTGAGGCAATGGCTGCATGCACAATTGCACAACGTGGAATTCAGCTAGTTGCCACTGCTCATGGAGTAACCATTGAGAATTTGATAATGAATCCTTCACTAGAGATCCTTATTGGGGGAATACAGGTGAGGTAGTTGCATTGATACCTGTGTTAATTATTTACTGCATAGCAGGGTTGCTGTCATCTTTATTCCAAGCCTTTCAAGATCATCAGTATAGGTGTCAGTGCCAGATACTGTTAAATGCTTAAAATAAAATAAACTGCATTGGTGCGTTTATGCCCTGATGGTCTCTAAGTCACATGCCTTTGAATATTTCACTAGAAGATTTGTTGAATCGTGCTGCTATATGTCTTAGTTCTGAAGGTTATGCAGCAGTTGCTACAGTTGATTGATTGAATATGTTCAGAAGCTATAGTTGATTGAGATTTCAGATATATGTCATCAGACATTGTTGATTGTACCATCTCAAGCCTTTGTAAGAGATACAGTCCAACCCTTAGTTCAACCTGTTGCATCCATCCTTTATCATAATTTTACTTCTCTGTTCATTGATTTTTAGAAAGCTTAGCAACAATTTGTTTAGGAAGGATTCTTTTATTGACTGATGTATTAAGATAACTTTTCACTAAAATTTTGTCTTATGCTACAACTTGTTGAAAATTTGTTTTTGCTACACGGAAAACTTATGTCCTGAATGTGAAATTTCATGGTCACTCATTCTATTCTGGTTATGAGTACTATTTTGGTTGATGGACATGCTTACTTTGATGTCTAAGTTAATGCAGAGATATTGTTTCTTTCCTAAAGGCAGAACATGAATTTAAAAAACTTAAATGTAAAAAACAAAAGAACGAAGGGAATCTATCAGCATTTTGCAACAGGTTTTTCTGGCATTTTACTTGAGAAATAAGCAAGATGAGCTCTGTATGATGCAATTAGATCTTTTCTGTGCTTTTGTTGATAGGTGATAGATCTGTTGCATGGTCAACTAATCATCTAGTACAAATATGATTTTGGTATGGGGGAATGAAACACTTGAAATAAATAAGTGAGGCAACAGTGTGAGGAGGTATCAAGGCACTGGAGGTAGGAGAAATTTCTTATTGCTCACCAGCTCAATGTGACAAACTTTATTATAAGATGTAAGGTATCAATGCTCAAGAAGTTTCATATACAAGTTGTATGCTATGATATCCTCCATCCTCAAAGGATGCCTCATCTGTCTGAGTGTCTTTCTCATTTTTAATTGAATGCATGTTCTTGTTGCACTGTTAAGCATTTCAGTCATGGAATTATATTGTAACAAATTCTCACAAAATCTTTTCACAGTAAATCTGTGATATGCTTAAGTTCAACATGTGGGTATAAAATGGTAAAGAAGCGAAGCTGCTTTTTATGCATGAGTTATCATCCATTGCACTTACAATTTTGTTCTTTGCCTGCTGTTTTTTTGTTGAGTGCAAATTTTGGTTACTAACACATGCTGTATTCTTGTCCTTTCTCATTTCACCAATGGAAAGACATTTTTATGTTTTCATAATTTTATCTTGAAATATTAGAAACTTCTTTGATCATTATCCTGTCTGAGAATATAATTTGTCATAGGTTCATTAAATAAATAGTTTTTCAGAGTGTGACTCTAGGGGATGAAGAAGCAAATCGAAGGGGTGTCCAGAAAACTGTGCTGGAGAGGAAAGGGCCATCAACATTTAGTTGTGGCGTGGAGATTGTTTCTAAGACTGAGTTATGTGTTCACCGCTGCCTTGAAGCAACAGTTGATGCTGTTCTCTCTGGTGGGTTCTTTTTTTTTTCATTATTATTTATATTGGGTTCCTAGAAAAATCAAAGAGGGCAATCCAGGATATTTTCAGATATTGGTGACGCATTGGTGAATATTATTCTTTCTCTGGTGTGAAGGTCATTTTCCTCGTGTTGAAATCCGTAAGATGAACTCTCAGGGGCTAGAAGCCACCTCACAGACTTCTACTGATATTGGCTCTGACAAGAAAGATGTAGTAGTTGCTCGAGATCTACTAGAGATTAGCAATGAAAAAATTGGCAATAATCAATTACCTCCTGAACTTTCTTCAAACATGGCTGAGGATTCTTTGGAAGACAGGGCTTTACTTCGTTTGTTTGTCTATGGGGTAAGTCATCTCAACATCATACGTTAATGTTGCCATTTTGATTTATAATTTGAGGTTGTGTTTAGTGAGTTTATGAAGTTAACATGTATTCAGTATTTGACTTTACCTGTAATGTTCACTTGAATCCGAGTTTTGATTAACTAGGTATGACCTAGATGTTGATGGGTTCAAAGCTAAGTCAAATGACCTTTCAACTTATGCTCAATAGATTTGACCGCATGATATTTATTAGTTTTAATAGCCACTTTAGTCATTTGTGTTCAGATACTTATATAGACATGACATGTAATGTGATAAAAAATGTCATCAAAATCATAAAGATATAATGTCTCAGTCAAAGCTCTCTTAGTTCTGATTGTCAGTAGTTGCAGTAGTTTTTAATAATGTGAAAGTATTACATATGAAACTTACAGAATGAGCAGTTATTCTAGATCCCGGAGGCGAGTGTGATACAAGGACTTAAAAAGTTGAAAATGGATGCTGCAGTTCAATTAACTGATAATATCAGTGAGGCAAATGCAATTCTTGCTCTGCTTTCGAAGCTTAGGAAGAACTCTGGGATTCAAGCTGCAGCTAGATCTCATCACATGCCTGTCTACGTGGCGAAGGTGAATAGCGTCTTCTTGGTTAGTGTCATTTGTACTTTTACATCATCAAAGTTTTGGTATGAATCAGTTGTTTCTTTTCTTGTAGACAAGCTCATTGATGCAGATAACAAAAGCCATAGAGGCATTAAAAGATGATTATCCACATGGATTAAAGAATCCTGGATCAGAAGATGAAATGAATATTTCGGAGAAGGTTGATGCCTTAGAGGTAAAGACTGATAATTTTTCCTGTTAAAAGTTTATGCTCCCTAAAAGGAAGTATAACTTTTGCAACTCGAATGGTTACAGCTCGCACGAGAGTGATTAGAACTTTGTTCCATTTTCTCTTTCAGCCCTTTCTAGTGGTTCAGGTTTATAGCCAGAATATACTTTTGAGCAGGTTTACCAATCATTTTTCCAGAAACCTTCAAATAGGTTAAGGAGAAGTTTATTTTTCAATGGGGGCAGTCCATTCCTGTAGATATGCATCAAATCAGTTCATTGTACTCCAATACAATTGCACTCTTTAAATATGTTCTCTATATTACAGGAGGCAAGAATAGCCATTGAACAGGTAGTAATCCCAAAAGGGGAACCTGTGGAACTACTCTCAAGGCCGCCCCACATTATGTCTCTACAAGTAGAGCTCATTCAGAAATACCAACTACAGTCAGAGAAAGTTGTCAAAGGGTCAGACGTACGTTTACGTATCCTCCCATTTCAGCTTACAACGAATGAGGTCATCAATAACTCAAGTAAGAACATTGATGCAAATGAGGTTCACAATTTTGACGGTTACGGTGCAAATGGTTCCCCACACAGTGTGGACAGGTTACCTCTCCTGCCTGATTAATTACTAGTCAGCATGTGTCATACATTGAACATTGCCACAGTCGTTAGTTTTCTAGCCGCCTCACATGTTCTTGCATGGTGGCCTGCAATGCATTCCTTTAGATTTTGCTGGTTTCTGTTGGATGTCTTAACATCAGAAAAACGAAATGACTGGAATATCATTACATGGTTGATTATCTGGATTCTTTGATCTCTTTCTATTTCTTTAACTAATGTAAATCTATTGATGGTTGATCCGTTTGGAACTATGGCAAAAGCAAATCCCAACAGTTCCATTGTCGTATGCAAAGATATAAAGGAACATGTACAATAGAGAAGTGAAGGAATATCTACCAAAAGAACTGCAAGAAACTTAATTTTTACTTATATATTGAAGATAATCATAAACTGGTTTTCAAGTTCTATTAATCGGCTATCTTGAGCATAGGTCAGACTAAAGAGCAATTTCGGAGGTGGAAATGGATTGATCTGACCAGGGGGGGCATGGCTCTCCGGTGGCCTAGGAGGATTCTCCAGAGGATCAACTACGGCACCATTGTTTTCCTGTTAGACCAAGATATCAAAACAAATATATGTACATGTGTACAGGTGTTCATGTACATAAAAAATTTAATTAACTTACAAAAGATTTTATGACATTTCATCAATCTTAATATCAATATTTTTTGACACATGTAGACGATCGTCCTTGAAAACTCTGGCTTTCGTACCTGAACATATTACGATAATGATTCTTTAGTGATCATTAAAGTGACCATTACCATCAATAAGAGAATTGCTTTGAATGCAATAAATTAAGTCAGAAGACAGCATGACTACCTGTATTGCAGAGCATGAATAATTGGAGAGAAATTACCAATAACAAAAACAACCATTTGGAATCCATGGGAGTTATTGGCAATAAGCTATTCTTCTTCATTTGACAGTAGAAAAAAACAGTAGTTACCCCATTTTATAGCAGTCTGACCTCTGTCATTTTATGAAGGCACATTCAACATGTACAATACCCAAAAGAAGAAACTAAGCCTAATTTTTGGGAACAAAAGAAAAGAAAAGGGAATTCTTTTGGCAATACCAAAAATAAAATATTTTTGCTTGTAATTTGGTGGTTGTTATTCTTTATTATTACATAACCGAATCTTATCGTATCCTTAACATTTATTTCTTTGTACAATTTCTATGTAAATCGGTAACGATTAGGATAAGATTGACCTTATTGTAAAATCAAATAATAAAATAAAAATGAAATAACAAAAAACTTGTTGAATAGGTTAACAAGTAAATAATGTGTGTAATATATAACCTTATCTAATTTATGTTAAATATTACGTAATTTTTATTTTTAGTCTCACTCTTTTAAGTTAAAATATAAAAATATTATTTTTGGCATTAAACATTATATTTAATTACTTTAATTTGCTTAAATTTATTATTTTCAAATATTTTAATGTTATACTATAATTTAATGATAAAAAGAATAATCCAATTTAATTTTAACTTTATAATTATATAATTATAAGTAACATTAATATTTAATACTAATATACATATCATTAACATTCAGGACCTGATCTGTCCTGATGGCATTCTGGAAGTGATGGTCATGAGATGTGATCCATCCAATGGTTGAGTTCCACCTTCTTGTGATCTTAGTTTTTTTTTTTTTAAATGGTTGCCTTTGATTTTTAATATAGATTGATAAAAAAATTTTACGTTAATTTTATACATTTACATTAAAAATATAAATAAGATAATTTTAATAAAATATTTTCGTATCTTTATTCTTTACATTAGTGTTTTAACCAATTTTAATTTTACAGCATAAAAAATTCTAATTTATTATGCTAGAAATCTTACTAACTAATTCCAGAAGATACAAATTATTTAGACATATATTAAAAATATAAAAAATTAATTTTTCATTTAAATTATCAAGATACAACATTTTATGTTAATTCTTATACGTTTAGATTAATAATATATAAATTCAAATTAAAGATACATTATATTTTACGTTAATTCGTATAAATTTATGTTAATAATATATAAATTTAAATTAAACATACGTGATAGAAAAATGTTGTTTTGCATTGTATCAAGCATTCGAATGACTCTTCTATAATCTTGTTTTGCTGGCTTTAACTTTGTACATATAAACCTTACTGTATGCCATTTAATAGGTCATATATACATATATTTTCCATTTAATACTCCCCAATGTAATTTTCAAATGGATTCCATTCATATATTTTATCTTGCCTTGATTTTTAATCTTGCATGTGCAATTTAATTATAAAATTTTCCTAATAAAATCATGCAAATCATGAAGATCTTTGAATCAATTCACCCTCTTCCTGCTTCTTTTCCATAATCAAAAAATTAGTAGATTTAATGTCCATGTGTCCATATATTTATAAAAAAAATTAGTAAATTGCATCTTAAACTTTTGCTTGATTTTTTATTTTTAGAGATTCTAATCATAGATAATATAATACATGTGTCAATTTTTTATCAAATCTTAAAACAATTATAAACGTGGACATTTTACACTTTATTAGATTAACTTTTTGAAGAGACAATAATGAATTCATGATAAAATGATATCAAGTGTTTCAAAAGGAAGTACGTGCGGTATTTTAAACTCACATCAAGCAAATAATACCAAACGTTTTAATATAAGCGTGAGTGCTGCACAGCTTAATAAAAAATCTATGATTAATGTACTTTAAGTTTTTTTTTTTAATAATTGGAAGAAGAGAAATTCAAATTTATTTTCTAGATAAGGAATAATGTATTAACTAATAATCAAAAGCTTAAATGCAAGTAATTTACTTTAAGCTCTTACAAAACAAATAAAAAATTTTAAAAATAAATTATAAACACGAGTGATATATACCTTATTAAATTAATTTTTCATAGAGCAAATAATGATGTCGTGGCATACGCAGAAACCATATGTTTTCAATAAGTGAAAAAGAAAGTTAACAATTTAATTATGATAAGAAAATATTTATTTATATTTATCGTATCTCCACTTTGCGTCACACAATGAATTAGTTTATTTTTCATTTCTTGTCAACTAAATTAATAATTTCAATAAAAAGATGAAAGGAAAGTATATTTCCATATATTCACATTTATTGTTTTCCTTCAAAAATTATTTATCTTTTAAACTCTCTCTTTTGTATCTCAATGTACTGGGAATACAAACCAAACCAAGTAAATAATAAAAAAAAAGGATAAGAGAAAAAGGTTTTTATGTTACCAAATTATGCAAATGTTGTCCATAAATTGTTCTGCAACAAAAATGAACAACATTTCATATGAAGCAAGAGTAATTCCAAATTAAATATTAAGAGAACATTGTTCATCCTTTGACTTGAGGAAATTAGTATAGATTAAGTTATATCAACACCGGCGGCGGCGGAGGCGGTGGCAGCGGCAGTGGATAAATATGAGGGCCTGACCCATTCCTGACCGGTGGCCTTGGAGGTTTATGCAATGAAACTATTGCAGCAGGAGGCGGTGGCTGCGGAGGAAGTGGATTAATGTGGGGGCCTGACCCTGTCCTAACTGGTGGCCATGGAGGTTTCTCCAATGGAACTATTGCACCAGCAGCAGCATCACCTTCCTGTTTTATAAAACATACACAAAGTCAATGAGTAACTCTCTAAATAAAAAAATATTTATTATTAAATTAAACATTCGAATTCTAAAATTATATACATATTTTTTTACGAAGAATTAAACTTCAATAGATCGTGACAGCAAAATCACTTTACCACGTAAAATACATACATATAAATAATTTCATAAACTTACTAAGATTTTAAGTGAGCTTCCATCGGGAATTTTTCTTGCAACACCTAAACATTTTATGATAATAATGCTTTAGTGATCATTACAGTGACAAATGCCATCAATAAGAAAGAGCAAGAAAATTAGAAGACAGCATGGAAAACCTGTATTGAAGAGCATGAACAACTGGAGAGAAACTGCCAATAACAAAACCAACCATCTGGAATCCATGAGAATTGGCAATAAGCAATTCTTTTTCAATTACCAAACCCATCTTATAGCTGTCTGCCCTCTGTCATTTTTGAAGGTACATTGAATTTGTACAAGGCAAATTAGTTTGGCAATACCATAAATAGTAAAATGGTTTCCTTTTAGTTCTGGTGGTTGTTACCCCTACCTTATCATTTATTTCTTTGTGCAATTTCTCGTGTAAATCTTTTTCCATCTCATTCTAGCAAGAACATAGGTTTTTTCCTTTTATATATATACATATATTTTCCATTTTGTACTCTCCCCAAAGTAATTAATTTTCAATCCATTCCTTCCGTATAAATTCTCTTGCTTTGATTTCTAATTTTGTATGTGTACTTGAATTATAAAATTTTTGCATAATACTCAATTAAGCCCTTAAATTATTTAAAAAAATTTAAATAAATCCTTATTTTTTTATTGTATTCAATTAAATCCCTATACTTTTATTTTTATTATGACTAATGATAAACTAATTATTATTAGTCAAAATATCACTTACCATTTTACATCTATATGGCACTAACATGGCATTGATGTGGACCGTGAAAAATATTACATAATTATGTTATGATGTCAAATTAGTATGTCATGTCATTATCAATTATGATATGTTAACATGCAACGTCAATCAATATAGAATGACAAATAGCATTTTTACTAAGTCAATAATTAATTATGGAAGTTTATTTGACTTAAAATAAAAGTATAAGAGCTTATTTGATTCAAAATAAAAGGGCTTAATTGAACATAATAAAAGTATAAAGGCTTATTTGAATTTTTTTAAATAATTTAGAAACTTTATAAGATATTATACCTAAAATTTTCCTGATAAAATCATGCAAATTATAAAAATGAGGAGACTATTCCCCACCTCCGCATTAATATGGGGAGGTGGGGAATGGCTAAATCAAGATTTTGAGGAATAGCTATTACTTGGAATGATTATTCCCCACCTCAAAAACCAACCAAACAAAAGAATAAAAATGAGAAAAGGAATAAGGGGGGAATGGCTTAGCTATTCCCCTATACCAAATGTGCCATTAGTTTTTAGATTTTACACCTAATTTAGGAGTATATAATATCTAAAGGCATACTATCTTAAAAAGGCCTTTGAATATTTAATAAAATTCGAATAAGTTAATATATTTTTATTATATTAAATTAAAATTTTATATTCTTATTTTAAGCTAAATAAGTTTTTATAATTAATTTTTAACTAATTACTATTAGTAAATATATAATTTATCATTTTATACCATGTAACGTTGATGTGGTATGATGACATGTCATAACGATAATAATGTGACATGATGGCATGGTCATATGATATGTTTCATCTTCCACATTAATGTCATTTTGACTAATCATAATTAGTCAACTGTTAGTCATAAAAACATATTTGATCCAAACAACAACTTATTTAAATTTTTTTAAAATAATTTAGAACCATTTTCAAGTAGTATACAGTATCTCAATGTATAAAAAAAAAGGAAAACATAATATCTCTCCAACTCAAATAATGAATCTGAAACCAACTTTATAACAACATTTTTATAATATAATATTTTATACTTATAGGCCACATATACTATCAATGAGCTTTGATCCATTGGCACACTCTTTCTATATGAAGGAGTAGGTTAGTACGTTAGACATCATCTGACCTAAAATAATAAACCAAATTTCCTTTCAAGCCATAAACTTGAAAGTATGGTGTTCTTTCCATAATCCCATAAGCCATAAGCTTAAAGAAATATTTTCCAAATTCTCAAATCCTCTTGGTTAAATTAATTCATAGCTTTTTTTGCGAGCAGCCTTTAGCACTTTCAAACATAAGTTCATGTTATACATATTTATCTAATATTTAAAAGGTAATTTTTTTTCCTTTATATGTCAAATAAATTGGTTGAACAAGTTTGTTGGATTTGGGAAATTTAATATTGAGAAAGTAAAAGAATTGATATTTTCAAAAAAAAAAATAGTACTAATATATAAGAAATAGTTAACGTTTTGATTTGGTAAAAAAGAAAACAAGTGTAAATATAAAAAAAACATTATACCAAAAAAAGTTAGAATATGTTTACTTAAATAGAAAAAATATATTATTGATGCAGTTTTTTTATATTTTAAGTATATGTGTTTTAATGGTATAATAGTTTCAAAAGTTTTTGAACTTTTTAAGAGAATTAAAAAAAAATTATTCTTCTGTTGTGTTAAATCAAACTTATATACTTGTATTTTGAATTAAATAGACTTTTAAAATTAGCGATTGATTAATTGTGAAGGAAATAAATGAATAAAGATTTATTTCAATTTTTATAAATAATTTAAGAATTTAATTTTAATAAATAAATAAAAAATTAATAAAGCCTATAGTCATAAAATCAAATTTAATTTCTTTTCTTATCACTTCTTTTAATCCAAATAATAAATGAAGTTTGCTCAAGTTAATTTTTTTTCTATTGATAAATTAGTCGCCCACCAATAAAAGCAATAGTTTTTTTTTTTTTTCATTTTCTATAATAATAGCATGCAGATGATCCCTTATTTATTTATACTTTTCAGGTGACCTTTTCAGTACTTATCTTGAAGTTCATAGTCCTCGTACAAATTTGTCAATGAAAAAAATAAAAAAGTAAATTAAACCCATTATTTTCTGTTTTTTTTTTTTTGGCCTTTAAAGTTGGCATTTGACTCATAGACTATTGAAGAAATTGTTTTCGACTACTGATAGCTAACAAGAGTCAATTCCAAAAGCACCCAACAAAAAGGATAAATATTATCATATAGTACAATGTCTTTTTTCAATTGCCAAATTAATAAATTAATTTCCCAAGGTTTTGTTGGCTTTTCACAATAAAATAATACAAGATTAGTGGCCCAAGACCATGCTTGAGTGTCACTAACCGAAGCTAATTGCCACTTTGGAATCACTAAACAGCAGGTTAAGGAAGTGTCGAAGTGCTCACATGCCAAGAACTAATTAAAATTATTAGGTCAAATCCATTGTTTATAAGAAAGGGTATGGAGATTAAAGGGTCTGCATGTTGTAGTCAACTGATAATCGAACATCCACATCATCCGGGCACAAGACGACATATCAGCATGGATACACTGTGACGTAGTGACTTGTCAGTTGACTGATTGGCCGTTTGTGCGATCACATATTGGATACTCCACCATCTCTACTTGTAATGAGTAGGACTAGAGATTCACTTTATAGAGATGAAAGTAGGTTTCCTCACCCATTAAAGAGTTACGTAAGAAAAGATAAAGAAGATTTTAATGTATTAAATCTCAATAATTAATCTGATCGGTAAAGTTTTCACTATTAAATCATGTATTTTTGAATTTCTGTTATGATAGATTTTGGATTAATATAAATTAATTATACATAAAGTTTAACATTATGATGAAAATAGTAGCTGAAGTTGCTTGCAATATAATATACATCAATTAGCGATCTCTCATACGTCTGTGAATATTGCGGGGCATCGATTTGAATCAAAACAAAAAGGAGAAAACTCTTAAAAGGAAAAGGCCTATGTCCTACTCATGCTCACATTAGGCACTTTTCCAGTGATGATAATATAAATTTAAAGCCCTCCACATGCTTAACTTTGGCACTAATAATTGAATTATGAGCTTTGTTTCTTTCGGTAGCGCCAAGGCAGTACCTATCTGGCAGCATTAGCTAATCTTGAATAGGTTACATATGTGCTGAATTATAAAAGAAAACCCTCACTTTGCAGTGAACTTTTCCACTTTATTACTCCCATGAGATCACCAACTATAGGGTCTGGAAATCTAATAAAATGGATGATCACACACTAGTTGGTGTCCACCATTAAAGCTTTTTCAGCCATTATTAAGATCATACGTATATACTATATCCTTTCATTTGGATCAATCATTTGTAAGCATCATGCAAAATGCCAACTCATTGCAGTCGATGAAGTTCTTATGTGGCTATAGCAAGAGCTGAGATTGAATCTTGTATTTATCAGGAATTCTGATCTATGATATAATAAGAAAGGGTTGTCTTATTTGTGGTCTAGGTATTGTCATGCTTCCCTTCCCTCCTTTCCCTTCTGCTTTACGTGATCCAAATGAAACTGGCGGCTCCAGGCTGCAGCAGCAAAGCTAATATTCAGTTTTCTTTCTATATATGGCTCTAACCTATACTATTTTTTATTAACATGTACCTTGGAGACTCTAACATGCACAAGGCTTTTCAGGGCCGACTTCAGGCTATAGTTTATTCGGTTAAAGAACAGACAATAAAGGGTTCAAAGTGAATCATATTACTATAAGACCAGCTTTTCCATAGTGAATTGATTATATAGTTGGAACTCTTCAGTGGGAGATAAGTTGTTCTTTAAAGTCAAGTAACACCTTAATAATACACTGGTCCGGGAAGAACTAGGGGCGGATTTAGAAATTTCTTTTAGTGGTGTCATTATTAAAATAATTATAATAATAATTAAAAAATTAAAAAATGTTAAAATTTATAAACCAAAAATTTTAATATTAAATTAAACAAATATAAATTTAGTATATTTATTTAATATTTAAAAATAAAAATATCTAAAATGACTATAATTATTTACGACCATTTTTTATATTTTGAAAGTAGTGCATAATATCATCAGTAGAAAAATTATCAAATATATCTTTTTCAATATATGTTACAAAGTAATTATTCATCTAAAATTATAACTTATTAGCATAAATTAAGATATTAGAATTAAATAAAATATAATTTTACATAGCAAATTATCAAATTCAACAACTAATAATTTGATAATTTTCAATTCATTAATCAAAACTAAATATGAGCATTTACAAAGCATATAAAATTAAATACAAAAATTAAAAAATTAAACAATATATCTATAAAACAAATAAAAAAAAGTATCGTAACTTCAATATATTATTTGACATGCAATACTATTTTTTATTAACTAGATTATTATTATGAATTCAAATTATTAAATTAATCAAAAAATATTTAGACATGAAATATTTAAAACGTTAATTTTGGTTGAAAATTATCTATAATTGAAATCTAGATAAGTTGCTTTTAGGGAGTAAAACACACCGTTAATGGCAGAAAAAAGGAAGAATTTGAATTTTTGAACAAGAAAAGTAGTTTAGGTTTTAACTTTTTTAATAAAATCTTAAATTATAGAATGAATTTTTTTTTACTTTTTCATGTAGTATTTAACTATTAATATATAAATTACTTTTTCATAAATCACTTTTATTTGAAGTTATTGACCCCACTTTTTATTAAATTGTAAAAAATAAATTCATTTGTAGATTAATTACCCTAAACTATAAATAAATATTATAAAAATTAAATTTTTTAGAAAGTGAGTGGTGTCATGTGACACCACTCTCTTCTTCTACATGGGTCCGCCCATGGGAAGAACAGTGCTTGTATAGTTCGAAAAGCTGCATCCAGTGGCTGAATGTGCAGCCTAGTAACATTTCCTTATACCCTTTCTAACGTTTTAGACAATTTTTAGTGGATTCAGTCAACATTCTATTTGTCCCCATGAAACAGTACTTCCAACAGTTAGAATTTGAAACTCTCAATTTGAAGGGAATGGAAGGTTGTCTCTCTCTGTGTAACTAAGCACCAATGAGTTTGAATATGCATCAAAAAGGGTAAGAAGAGGACATAGAATTTCACATATAGGTTTATGTAGAGAAGTCAGTATGTAAGAGGGGTGCAATATCCAGAGACAGTGACCATATTTATGCCTGATGTTCCTGCAGAACTAGAAATCAGATTTAAGGATCAGAGAAAGGTTTTGAAGAACATTCAGAAACCTATATAACAAAATAGAAATAGAATGGACCTTTTTCTTTTGCTATATATGTTTAAGTATCATGTGTCTTGAACCTTAAGCAACACGTAATAATTAGTAACAATGTCTAGGAGATTAGACAGGATTCTTTAAGTTATTGAAATGCAGAAATAGCATACTCTTCCCTGCCTCAATCTAACTCTCCCAGGATGTTCTGACTCAAATCCTGAAAACTTCCTCTGCTCAGAAGCTCATTGGAGATTGGAACTAAGACTTCAATTGGACAAAATCAGCTTTGTTAAGGACATTCCACAGCATCTGCTTTCCACAGACTTCTTCTTCAAGTTTCATTCAGTAAGAAAAATCATGTTGAAAGCATTCCAGGCATTCTTAATCTTCCTCTGCCATTTTTCATCAAATTGAAGCAATGATTTAGCTATATATCAGAATTGGGGTTTTAGTTCTGTTTTTCTACTTGTTTCTGCAATCTGCAATCTTTTATGACTTACAAGCAGATGTTCCCGTTCATATTTTTTTTATTTGAATGTTTAATGAGAGGAAGTAAATTAGCATGGAACTTTTGTTTGGCAAGAAAGATTCAGAGAGCAAATGGAAAACCAGACTACATTGCTTTCCAACAAATGCTGATGCAAAATGCCAAGGCCCATGACTAGGAACACAACACTCTTTTTCAGAAAAACTCAGTATGCCAAAGCCTAGAAGATGAAACGAAAGTATATTCTTTACTTAATCTTTAGCCTAACATGAATTGAACTTGGATTGGTGGGGTATTTATTTTGTCTTCAAAGCTTAATCTTTAGCCTAACATGAACTGAACTTGGATTGGTGGGGTATTTATTTTGTCTTCAAAGCCGGCAAAAAGCATTGAGACGGCGCTATTAGCCAAAGGAAAACTCTTTTCTACTTTCGGTTCACACACTTTCAAAGTTTAAATAACATCAAAAAGACAGAACGATCCAGGAGTTGAAATAACCCTAAACGTCGGCTAATGTTCATCTTCTCTTCCTTGTTTGGCATTAAATTATTCTCCCAAGTGTTGATTTAAGAATAGGTCAATGCAAGCACTGAATTAATCGCCAGACAGAGGAAATAAAAAGGTTATCCTTCCAATAAAATCGCATCCCATTTGACCAAACTTTAAATATTCACGAAAAAACAATGGGAATGGTGTCTATATATACCTCTCCATGCAGCCAAGCTTTGCAAGTATAAACCCTCACTCAAACATCAATGGCTAGCTTCAAAGTTTTGTTCTGTCTTTCCCTGCATGCTTTGTTCTTCATTTCAAGTTCTGGAACTAGACTGTTTCATCCATTTTCAATTACCGGTCAGGCATTGAAAGAAGAAGCCAAATCACAGAATAAGGTTAGTACAGATAAACTAGAGATAATTGACAGGCATTTTGAATCTAAGCAATTTTCAGGCTTAGGCAGGTGGACATTGGCAGTTGAAGTTAAAGTACATCCTGAGACCAACTCAGACAGACAAGACGTAAGTGACAGAAACCATGCACCCAAGCAGAATCCAAGCAGTAGCAAGCGTGCAATGATAGAGGAAGCCAGAGAAGCCATTAAGGCCAGCGTACAAAGACATGGTGGAAATCCTTTCGAGTCGAAGCGGCTTAGTCCAGGGGGACCAGATCCTCATCATCACTAATCTTACATTTTATAGCTGCCTGTGATTTACACCAGAAAAGAAAAAAATGTTAGAAATTGTATTTTCCATACATTTTTTTTGTACTTGTAGTGTAGATCATTAGGTTCCTTTGATGGATGTTTGCACAACTTATCTTCATATTCAGCTACGGGAGATTAAAAATGATATCGTTTCACTACTAATGTAGCAGACATGGAGCTTTCTTAATAATCTATCCATCATTTTTCCAGCTATTCAACTATCTGCAAATTCTTTTTTATGCATATGTAGTCGGTGGTGCTCCATTGAGACAATTATTGGTAAGAGGATGTACTCTTTTTAATCTTCTCCCTTAACCATTTTGGAGATGGTGGGACATGAGGCCATCTCCATTGAACTCATATCAGCAAAATACAACCAAAACCAATGTTTTAAGTCAACCCACTGCTCTCAGAAGAATGCATTTTGGGTGTTAAATGCATTGCTCGATTTCATTTTTCACCAGAAATACTCATTTGTGCATACTTTCTAAAGGTAATGTCAACCAAAATGAGTGTTAGTATGTGCTCAATATATGAGTTGCAATTGGAATTAATGAAGTTATATCAAGAAATTATGTTTATGTTCATGGGATTCAATTGTGGGGATAGTGCAACGCACATTGTACTGTTTTGAACTACCAACCCACTATATATACAGTCCCCAACTCTCAGTGTAGGTCCTGTCAGCTGTCAAACAAAGAAATAAGAAGACACTTTTTGTGGGGGGATTGTTTCCAATATACATTTGTTCACAACTTCCTTTTTAGATTGAAGTTGGTCTTCCTAGAATTCAAAGAACAAGTTTTGACTATTTGGAAAAAAAAGAAAGAAAGAAGAAGCTGTAAATTAAACTTATCTATTCATTGCTATTAGAATGTGTGAAACGACCATCAATCTTTCTTTTTAATGTTTCATACTATATTCCTTCATCTCTATCATGGGTCACTATCAATCCTACAAATTGATGAACAAAAGGAGAAGTGGGCTTCAAGTGGATCCTACTAAAGAAATCAAGATAGGAATTAAGCCAAAGTCGGCTCAATGAAACCGACCAGACCAGAGAAGTGCCAATACTATTCTTTACTTTATGAGATTTCATCATTTGATTAAAAAGAGGAGGGGGGGAAGAACTATAAATCAATGGGCCGAAAAAAGTGTGTGCCTGTGCATGTTCCTCAAATTTTAATAGATAGAAATGGCTAAGTGTTGAGATGGGAAAGCACAAAAACTGAATCGAATTAGATAACTTCCACATGATGCTGTCCCTTTTTCGGCATTACTGAATTGACAATTTCACACGACTTTCTTTTCTTTGAATCCTTCGTGTCCTGAAATCATTTTCTTTTAGTCGTTTTGGTGGCAAAACTCTTATCTTGAGTCAAATATTTTATTATATTCAACACTGATATCATGTTGAAATGTTATTTGAAATGTAGTTCAGCCTATACTTTTAAATTTTCTGAATTGAGAATTTCGCTAATCAATTTAGAAATAAGAAAATTGAATTGAATACAGAGAGGTGAATCCCTATTGAAGGTTCTAGAACCGTTAAGCCTACGTTACAAGCAATAGTATCGAGAATTACTACTGGAAAAATATATAAAAGATTGTTGGCATGATAGCTTCCATGCCAACAGGAATCTCCAAATTTCAACGTTGAAGACTTCCCACGACATTCCAACTTATCATTAATAAAAACTCATCTTTCAAAAAAAAAATACCATGGGAAATCTTAGTTTTAGTCTCTCAAGCTAAAGCTAAATGATGAATCTTATGCGCCTAGACATGAATGAAATGTGGAAGATTTGGACATTGTTCTAGTTTCTATTACCGACCAAATCCACCTAGCTAGCAACCAAAAATCTTTCAAGCTTCTGGTTAGCATCTGCATCTTAAACATGACTCAAAAGGTTACGCTTTTGAAAGCTACATGGATTATTCGGAAAGTACTGTGAAAAATCCTGTGAAAAAGTGTGATTTGAGATTGTAAAAAGTTGTCGGCAAATACAATACCAAACAGACCCTTAATTATTTCCATTGAGAAGTAGGTAATCAACTTGGAATCCCCAAAAGGATTCGGATTCAAGAATTTTGTTAAACTAAACTTTCAAGGGTCGGGACAGAGAGGTTGGCTTGAACCTTCCTTTTATCCGAATCTCTATTTTTCTTTTTCACTATGTCGGGCACCCTTTTCTTAATCTTGTGTCATCATTTTCAAGCCTGGAAATTCCACATAGTTAAGCTGTTTTCTTTTGAAAAGTTGAATTTCACCAAGAACGATCCAAGGAGATCATATTAATTTAGCATGATTTAAATATGTATACCAATTTTTCATATGATTTCTAGCACCAATGTGATGGTCAAATTCCTCCAGTTTTCAAAGCAAAATCCATCACAAAGAGAGCAATATTCGAGTCTGACAAAGATATGTCCTTTTGATTATCTTAGTTCACAAACAGGTCACAACCCCCCGACACATTCAGGGGCTGCGTATCTTCTCCTGCCTTCTCAGCGTCAGTGATAAAAATCTAGATACCCCACTTTTCTTTTGGCTATGCTTCAATAGCTCATTCCCTGACAATATATATTGTCATAATCAACTAGAATCGAATCAACAATAGTATAGAACTGAAGCTTTTAATTTGTTGCTGCAATTTAATATAAAGTAATGATGTTTTTGAAGGGTTCTGAGCATTTTTGACTAACTGTTATGTACATGACACATACTGTTCTATAAGGTGGAACGTACACAGCAAACGTACGTCTTCAAAGCATATCAAGATTTCTTTAGATACAATAACAATTTATGTAAGCATTTGAATAAGATATACATGAATCCATTTCATTAAGACTTAAGGATAAGAAGATGAAGACTAGAAGAGGAAGATGATGTCATGGTATATTTATTTGTGCACACTCAGCTAGTATATCGATCTGCCTTTCAAAGTAGATATCCAATATACATTAGAATTAGGTCCTAGCATTTGTTAGAAAGGTTGAATGCTTCAAAGTTGACTTTACCTAAACTTATCTCCAATCCTGATTGTCGTAACCAATTGATAGTCAAGAGAGTTAGGAAAACATATTTAGACAGTAGTTATTTATTTTGTTTGATTTAATCCTTCCAATCCACTGTGGAATACACTAGCAAAATTCATGTTGCAAAGCTGTGACTAGATTTTAATGAGTTGGAGGGGGACTGTGGAAGTCAAATTCAAGCAGCTACATATGTATTCACTGTTAAACAACATCAGCAGCTACTCCAGCCTTCTGTCATCTGTACCGGATGGCTCATCATGTATGGTTTTCCGGTAAATCACACTTAATGGATGATCCAAATCATAGAAATACGTATATACGTGCTTAATTTATGTACTTATATTTTTCTTGCATACAAAGTGACAGAGTGTCATTCAAACAATATATAAAATCTAAGTTATAGAAGCAGCTCTAGAGAATGACTCTAGGGGCCAACATGCCATGTTAATCCCAAGGCAAGTATTCTGATCTACTCATTATGAAAACATCATTCAATCATCAATGATGATACCTCAACCATCAAACGTGGGTGTAATTGAATAAACTTTGACAAGTTTTGATATATATCGGTGAAGTCGTAGACATGTATGCATGTAACATTCTACAGGCTCTCATAGTCCATAATCTGCTTCCATGTGGATAAGAAACGCTGATGTATGATTCTATCCACACTAATTTGCCAAATCCAAATTCCATCCATTACCTTACAGACAAGTCTTACTCGACTGTACCTTAAACCTTCTGAGTTTCAATGCAAAAATGATTATCTCTTGACTTTCCCTGCCATTTTGACCTGTTAAATATAATGCGCTCTACCTTTACCATCTGTTCTACTTCTAAGTGTTTGCTTCGGATCATGTCGAGTTTAGCCGACGTGTAAGTTCTTCAGATACAATTATGTGAAGTCCGCAGGTCAAGATATATGTGGACAAAAGAATTTGCTAGCCTAAAATGTTCAAGTTTAGAAGTAAACCAGAGAACTTAATGGATTACGCGTTGCTCTTCAAAAAAGACGGATTATGCATGCTTGCAGCTCGCAAAAGGCCAAAACAAACCACAAATAGATAAAAGAAGTAATATTTTCCATATTCATGCATGCGGACAACTTTCCAAATTCCCTCTATTGGAGAAAAAGGATTAGGACCAGGCAAACGAGTATGAGCTAATGATCAAACGTTGTATTGTCTTCACTAGCTTTTGAGTCAATTCTGTCATGATGTTATATTAGTTTAAGATAAGAACTAGAGAACAAGAATGACTAGATTTTCGAGATGCCACATCGAAACAGCCTTTTGGCTGTTTGTGAAGGGAAAGAACACCAACTTTGCTTGGCAAATAAGGATTGGGAAACGAAACATCATGTTTCATTTGTCTAAAGTAATGGAGATGACTCAAGAAAGCAGAAAATTAGCTGTGTTTTGGAGAGAGACAAACCTGATTATACGTCGACGTTCCAATATCAATATGTCTTATATTGGAGAAATAAGGACTTTTTATGATAGTGTCATTTCAATCTCGTCCCACTAGTTTATATGCAGAGTTTTCTGCTTCAATATATAAGTTGATTGCATGTTTATCGATTCCTTACTTCTTTCTCCTTCTTAAAAGAGCAAAATGTCTACTGCTTCCAACACTAGGCTCTTGCTGTTGTTCATGATCATTTTATTGATGCTTGTAGTGAGAAATTCTGAGGCAAGGCCTTCTCATGGTATCCCAACTATGACTCAAAAGATTGATAGCAGCACTATCCTGCAGAAACTTGGTTATGATGCATCCAAAATTGCCTACTACAGAAGGATGCTGGGTGGTGATCCTGATAGGATCTCCCCCGGAGGTCCAGATCCTCAACATCACTAATACTCACCAGCTCTAAAGCTAGATGTCAGGACTTGCGTAATGTTGTCTAGGGTACTTAAAACTTTCTTTTTTCCCTTTACAAATAAACCCAAGGGAGGATACACTAAATTCTTTGCTCTTAGATATCAATGTGAGATGAAGATTCATTCCTCAGGTACTTGGGCAGGTGGCTTTTTGAGTAGAAACTTTAGGTTCGAGCTGCAGTACGTTTCCTTGTGTTCCAAAAATAATAAAAGTAAGCTCATCCTTCTTCAGGATGTTTGTAGGCTTGCATTTTGAGTCGGGAAAGTT